ATTAAATTGAATCAGTTCTTGTTGAACAGTCTTATACCGTTATACGCAAAGTTCTATGAAACAAAGTGCTAACTAGCAAACGAAGAAGTAAGTACCAGCTGGCGGGTGGCGGAAATGTTATTCCACAACAGAATTACAGTGCAAGAAGTGTGTTTCCGTTTGTAAACTGCTATTTCTGGAATTCCACTGAGCAAGTGGAATTCCACGGAATCCTTGAATTCCATTTTCCAAATCCGAGCAACCCGAGAGGATCAAGGATTTGGAAATGGAATTTGATCCGTGGAATTCCATTTTCCTTGGACGGTCGTTCCTTAGCCTCGCCAAAATCTCTTGGGCGGTGTGCGCAAAATTCGGTGGGACAATTGAAGTATTGCACCGGCGATCATCAGGAAGCAATATTACGGTGTCTTCTGATGATTTCCCAACTGCCATTCTTTCCCAGATATACGAACTATTCTAAAATTCAATATAACGATGTTTTCAGTTTCAGTACCTTTTTGCCGATTGTAATGACTGCAGTACTTTAGTGAGCATTGTTTGTATCGAGTGCAATCAACAACAGTTTGATGTGCGTTTTCAGTATGTGCCGTTCGCATGTGACATGTATCTGTACTTTTGGCTGCATGTATATTTCGGTCTGTGAGATGTCACAGAAAATCTACAAGTCACTAAAAACAGACTTGGTAGCGCAGCTGTTACTGCAACAGCTATTAGATGGATGTTGTGAGATAAATACGAGTCTCTGGTTACTTGGGCCATAATAGAAAGTTTCATCAAATGCAAATGGGCTGGGCTGGTAATAGCAAGGCACTCGAACTATGCACACGTTTGAAATGCCACGTATGTGCACACAAAGCCACAAAAGTCAAAGATGGAAAGTATGAGTGAAATTCGGGAAAAAATGCAATTTTCCACTTGAAACGGGCACCAATTTTCCGTTTCAATGTTATGCCCGTCTTTACAGTCTTTCCGAATAACAAGAACACTGACCACGATGTGTTGCGATGCGTGCTGAATCAGTGTTCTCGTTTCAATCCAGTTGCATAGGTATTTAAGCCAAGCACAAAGGAAAGCTGCTTTGAGCCCGCCACGTCTTTTACAGCAACACTTTCAACATTTCGGCTGCGCTGTTCAGTAGCAGCGTTGTGATCGAGATTCGAGAATGTCAGTAACTAGTATTACAGCAATCGTTACCGCTTTAAACGGCCTGCTGTTATGCAACTGGGCGGTTGCCGATTCCAGTGACCCATCGGTTTTTGCCTTTGAAGTAATTGAACTTAATAATGATTAGCTTTTACGGTCACACTACTTAAAACTATTCAAATTTAAATAACAAACCTACTAGACTCTAACCGTATCTTCTATTGCAGTGCGTGAACCAGCCCACCCCAGACAATGGTTAACCAGATTATTAATGAATTATCATCCTGGCGTTGCGTGCCGTGGAAAACCATTCCGGACGACAAAGTGTTCACTGCGATTGCTCCTCGGTATCAGGTTTACTATCAGGTAAACGTGAGTCGGATGCACGATATACTGCGCTTTGATGGGAGCAAAGTTAATGTCGTTGAATGCGTTTAAATTCGTTGTGCAATTTTAATTTTTAAATTCATAGCAAATTTTAATACGTCGAGTCTCAGCAGTCGGTTAGTTATAAACGGTTTTCGGTCCGATGCATTCAACTAAGTCTGCTAAAGCGAATGTGTTTCCCTGAACGGATACGACTTCCGTGTTATCTCAAATTATTTTTTCTGCATGCATACAGCTGCACATTGTGCATGCAAAGTACAGCTGATTTACATGCTCTTCCTTAATTTGCTCAGTGCAATCGGCTCTTGCTTGAATGCGGCCAATTTTCGCCGTTCTGGATGCGCTGTGAACTAGAGAATAACTGCAACTGCTGTTGGACCAAGTACCCCACTGCGATGCGCTTATACGAACTGTACTGTACCCTTACCCTGCACTTGAAGGAAATTTTTACGCTATGAGCGACACAGTGCTGTATAGCCGGATAAACATTCAACCAATTCACGTTTAAACACGCACTAGCTGCAAGCCTCGTATGTGAATGTTGAATAGGCTCGTACAAGTGCGTGTGGCTGCACTGTACAAATTTCCTTTAAGTGCAGGGTTAGGGTACAGTACTCCATGCATCGTTTGTGGAATACTTCTTGTACACCCCTGTACGATGAAATGGGTTTGCGTGAGACGATCGAGAGCGTAGATGAATCCGACCAGATTTACGGAATGATTACCGACCGGCTTCCCACTTCTCGAACGACAGGTATCTAAACAATCTTATATCCAATCGGAAAACGCATAAAAAGCAATCTGACCCATTCAGTTCTACTCTCGAACAGTATTAGCACTTTCACTACAGAATATTTCGTAAAACGCATCTAAGTAGTTTTCATTCATACACAGCGAAAAATGCAGAGCTACAAAAGTTCTTCTGTGTTCGACTTCGACTTCTGTGCGCTGAACGTTAACCAGTTACACACTCTTCATTGATATAATAATGGATCTTCTTGTCAGGCAAATTTATATTCAATTTTCTAATGTGATATTTCGCCTTTCTTAAGAGTTTCTTATGTCGACAGATCGACAGTACTGCAACGACGGCTCAATGAACATGCTAATCCATCCCTGCTGTGGGTCACCGCTAATGCTAATTCTGGAAAGGAAGACTGCCTCCAAAAAGTGCTATGTGGACACCGCCGAGAAGTGAGCGCGGCGTTCAATTATGCGTTGGACGAACGGGTCACTATCGGTTCCTGGACGGGTGCCCTCCGCGACGCCTGGGACAGGGTGCGTTCATGGCCAAAATTCGTCTTCAGTAGAGCAATGAAGAGCCTGAATGATTGCATGAATGTGACTGACCGAGCCTCGATAGCTGGCGACGATCGGTGCGGTCGGTGTAAAGGACAGAAGGGAACGGTGAGGCTGACCGAGATGGGGTACAGTTACACAGTGACGGTGTAGAGAAGTCTACACCGGGTTCGCGAATTCCGTTTACGACAACACGCCCACGCTGGGAAAAGACGATCCATCATCTTTTGCTACGTTTTTTTTAGTTCTTTGCAATTGAACTGCTTGTTGTTTCCACAGTAGTTTTTGTAAATAGGTTTTCTTACCGACACAAAGCCTAACTTTGAAAAGTCAGCCGTCTCTTCGTAACAAAATTTTCAGGCTTTTTTGCTACGAGTGTTTTATGAAAGAAGCATCGGTGCGCATTATTTTAGGGCCAATGGCATTTCGGCTAAACGCGTTATATGGAGCGAGATTTATAATCCATTTGGGTCGTTTCATCTGTGTCAACAGGACGGTACTTAACACAACCTCCTTACCTATCTAGCAGGAACACATTTTGTTTAGTCCAGGGTTTGTAAGTATGATGGCAATTTATACAATAAGAGGCATCTAAAAACGAATATGTAGATTGTATTCCCCGCGTTCGTCAAAACGAAAGGTACTGGGTAGTATTCAGTCAGCTCAGAATTCAGTCAGTACTGTTAACATCTTCTGATATTGATGCAATCCGGTTAAACCGTTTGCAAAGAAATGACAGTTCTGAACAGCAGCACTGGCAGCAAGAAAAACTGCAGTGCGATTTTCTTAAAATGACATGCTACAGTAAAAGCCGGGAAATTTAAAAATACGGACGTTTACTGCACTTTACATAATCTAATGAGCGACAAGATGAGTGTCCAGCACGCCCTTCATCCTGCAAGAACTCCATTATCTCAGCAGCTAAACTTCTGCACATGGCCACGAGTCCACGACGTTTCCTGCTACAGACAGAATACTATTAGCAGCATCAGTACGGCTACTTAGTAGTAAAGCTGTTAGTGGCAGGCGGATCAAAAAACTATTTGAGCACTGGATATTAGCAGAGCTTTTACATGGTTAAACACTGTGTCAGCTGGAAACCAGCTGAAAATATGCTTGCTTAGAGCAGAAAGTTAAGCGTTGCCTTGAGATAAACAAGGGCTTCAGTTAAATAAAAAAAAATCAGAATTAAGGCAAGTTAGTGTGAGACTTGCAACTCAATGCGGTTTCGCTAAAAACCTAGTGTTCCGTGAGCGAACCGATTCGATAGTGCATCTGTATCGCAGCGATATTAATTTTGCATGACGAACCATGCATGATATGGATATTTGCATGATGGACTTGCTAAGCCATACTTGGTCTTTATATCAATCATGTGCTGCAAATCAATTCAGATACCGAAATAAAAGTATCCATAATGAAACAGCTGTTCCGTGCCATGATACGTATGTGGTTGTTACGTATACTGAGTGCAAACTTACCGCTAAAACCTGGTCGCAGTTTTAAATTAATGAGATTTCATCTTCAGGCTTAATATCACCGTATCAGGGCTAGCTAGCACAATGCTGATTTTAATTATGGTGCTTTCGTATGCTGAATACTGGCTACATTTTATCTGAAAATCTCACAGGTACATGCTTGCACATGCACTAGCAAAAGATTAGTGCCATGCCTGCTCTTGTATATGCTACGCAGAGCATACTTAAATCTGGCCTAACTTCCAAATCCCAACATTAAAAGCCACAGTAATATGCCTTTAACTATCTGCAACGAAATAAATCATTGTCCTGCATATTATCGAGTCAAAACAAATGACGACTAGAAATAAAACCGTAATAATCGCTAATTATACCGCTTTCCCTCGAAATTATTTACCCCCGCTTCATGATTCCGCACACTATTATGTAAACCTGCAGTGTCACGCGTGCTCCAGGCACGTTAAAGCTAGAGCGCTAACAATTTGCAAAATAATATTAGTAATAATTCCCGGGATTTCCCCCTAACCATATTTTCCACAAGACAGCGCGTTTAAGTACAAATTGAAGAGTTTAGTCACATAAATAATTACCCCCTTCGGCTGCAAACCATTGCTTTCAACGTTTCAGTACTCCTTGCAATTTATACCAACCGTTATAGTATCCGACAAATCCGGCTGGGAAAACTGTGCCGGTTTTCCGGTTTTGAGAGTGAATCAAATGCTTGAAGACCGATTCTTTCATTTCATACAAACTTGTTCGTGTTTGTGCTCTGTGGATAGTTTTCAGAGACTGTAACCGCTATCTGCTTGCTTTTGAGGATATTTAACAGGCAAAGAAAGCAAGCGCGCGATGCAACTGTTAGATGTGATTGGATTTCTGGTCGCTGTTGCTAGTGTAATGCAAACTAGCGGGAACCAGCAGTTATCAAAACCTGTCGCCTGCACGTCTGATCTTTGCCACAAAGTCGGTATGTAGGAACGCGATCCATTAAATAAAAGCAAAATTGCTCATGAACAATTTCTTGGATTGCTGTATTCTTGTCTTGAATTTCCAATGAAAATTCCGACCGGGATGTCGCCGACCAATGCTGTCGCTGCCAGCCACTACAATAATATTAGGTAGGTGGCGAACAATTCGTTTGCTTATTTTAGCCCGAGAAATCCTCTCCAGCATGGATGAAACTGTGGATCCATGCGTCGACTTCTACGCTTACGCATGCAACCGCTGGAATAACAGCAGCGGTCTGTCGCAAACCGTGCTTGTTCCCAAAGTTTCCAAACAACTTCAACGTACGTGCAGTGACGTATGCTCTTGCCGGTGCTTCGTGACCCTCAATACTGAATCAACTGCGCTTAATGCTTTTGTATCTGGCACAATGCTATCGGATATCGTTAGCGAATTGTGCAACTGCAACCTGGACCGAAGTACATCATGGTTCCATATATCATAAGGAACAGAACTAATAATAATTATTAATTTTCATGGTTTTTGTTGGACTAATGTCTGTAGAAACTAGGAAGTAGATGTATACGTTGGGGTTTGGCTGCATTCTGCAAACACTCTGTTGCATGCGTGTATTCTGTTGGAATTTCCGCTTTTAGAATTGTTTGACAGTGGAAATTACACCAATCCTACGGAAAAAAAGGCAATGGACATATACAACCAGTGCATCAACCAGACGAATGGTATTCAAAGTTACTGTACAGTAGCCCTGCACTGAAAACCACTTTTCTACGGTGTGATCTGCTTATACATAATATTGGTAAAGACAGGTGATTCAGTCGCCTGAATGGCTGCACGGCGTGGTACGATCATTTCTAGAGCAAAAAATTACTACAAAAAACGTACAATTTCTTTCCGTTAATAAATTTTTTCTATAGACGGACCATTCAGTATTGAGACCATTCGCAGGCTTGTGCGCGCCGTGGATGCCTTGTTTGGTGGATGGTCGCTATTAAAAGGCAATCCCAACGTATCCGCTTTCCGTCTGGATGACGTACTCCCCCGTCTTCAACAGAACGATATTCAGTCCATCATTTATCTTTCCATAGAAAAAAACGATTTTACCAGCAACCAGAATATCATGTTCCTTAGAATGCCTGGGCGCCTTTGGGAACGATGGGGATATTGTGCCCGCTATCCTGCGCCATGCAATGCAACAGAGCAGCTAAAGAGCATCTGGACGTTTATTGTCCAGCATTTGCTGAAAGTGGCCAATCCAAGCGTCCATTGGTCGACAGTTCGAGAGCGGCTGGAGAAAGTTCTCATGTTGCATTTCCGGATGGCAACTGTGCGAAATGTTTGAAAATCACACGATTCTCTGAATCTTTCTGCATACGTGTATCTATTTTTATAAATTACTTCACCTTCTCGGGCTTTGATTTCATGTTCTTATTTTGGTTGTATCTCGCCCTTAGTTTAAAATATTTTGGTCGTTTGTTCGTTATTTGTGTTTATTATTATTACTTTATCAGTTTGTGACAACTTCTACCGTTCTCGTATTCCTTTTTCGTCTAAAGACGTATTTAATTTTTAGGTGTCAAAAGGAAAACTAGACTTTCTGAAGCGCTTAACCTTTGGTGATCTCAATAAACCACCCTACCGTTCGCACTTCCTACCGAGATTATTGCCGCTGTTCAATGCCATGCTGAAATCATCGTCAGTGAAGTTTCAAGCAACGACCAGTACAAAGTTCGGGGTTCCGTTATTAGAGTATCTCCTCGAACTGGATCAGACGATGGCGCAGCTGGAACGGGACGGAGATGCGGGACTTGCGACCCTGGCTGACTGGCTATGGTGGACTGCGCTTTATCACTACTACCTTGTATATCAAGAGGCGCGCCACTGCGTGCAACTGGTGAAAACGGCCATGCCGCTGACTGTGTCGGGAATGTTCTTTAAGACATACATACCGAGCAAAGTTGCAGAAAAGGTAAAAAAGACTATGTTACCCCAAAGAAATACATTAAATGATTTTTGCAAAATGTAACGTCCCGGAGAAACGACCGATAGAGAAATGTTAAAAAAGGTAAGAGAAATTTGCGTCCAACAGGCCAAAGTGCTGACAACCGAGCTTGCAAACGCGGTTCGCGACGCGGTCCTCCTCAAAACAACCTGGATGGACAATGCAACGCTGGAAGCCGCCATGGATAAGCTGAATCATACACTGCGGAATGTTGGATTTCCCGAGGAGTTCTTGGATAACTGGAAACTAATCGATGACCTTTATGCTAAGGTAAGTTAACACTTTCGCACCGCCAAGCTTTCAAAAACACCGGAAAGGTTACATTATTTTCTCAGTAAGATCACTGTTTTGGTATGCACTTTTATAGTGTGACATATTCACTAAAAGAAAAGCAAAAGCGTTCCTTATGCGAAGTTCGTGCGTACTTTATGACGCTGTCAGGGTTTACGTAAGAATATCGTGTTCTGCACTTTGACTCAAACCAATTTCTGTCATTTTCTGCGCGTAGACGTCGCTCTTTCAGGTTCAACTGGAGGTATCATTCTACGACACATTACGCACCATCGATCAAAGCAACAGTTGGATCAACCTGCAAAAACTCTCCCGCATTAACGTTCGCAATGATCTATTCTTTCCAGACGATCTGACCTTGGTATTCGCCCGGATTTACCCAAACGGCAATTATATTGGTATCTGCCCTGTTCGCTTACTTTTACTGTTTATTTTAATATAATTTCTTTTTGTACGACTATTTCCCGTCGATACGTAAACACTTGCTTTATAGATGTTATCTTTCATAGGTTTCTTGCGACTATTCTTTTGCTTTTTGAATAAAGGCTTCGTATTTTAATTTTGTATAAATTTATTTACACAATTTTTCGTTTGTTGCGTCAGAAGTTAATTGACAAGTAAACTGAAAACCGTCAATCGTCGAGTTTACAGTTATTCCAGCGGCTACATTGCAGCCACCAATGTTCTACGCCAGCAACTTGGACATTTTTAATTACGCTCGCTTGGGTTTCGCCATCGGCCACGAATTTACCCATACTTTCGATGTCGGAGGCGAGTATGGATTTCTTTTTTTTCAAACACGTTATTACAAATGCCTTTCTTAGGTAAGGCGTGGGGAAAAGACGGGAAACCGTTTAACTGGTGGACGAATGCAACACGGAACAATTACAATGCGAGGAAGTACACTCTAGTCGATTTCTATAACAATATCCCCACGAAGAACGACAGCGTCGATGGACGGCAAAGTCTCAATGAAAACACTGCCGACAACGGTGGATACCGCGCTGCTTACTTGGTGCATATTTTTAGTATTTTAGTTGTAAATCGCGAAAAAAATTATTCTTTTGCAGGCTTTTACTAAATTTAAACGCCGCACCGGATACCGCATACAACTGCCGGGTTTAGAAGCCCTGAATGAGGAACAACTGTTCTGGTTGATAGGGGCGCAGGTAATATTTGTTGACGGTTAAAAAAGGGCAGAACTACAACGGAAATTGCTTTCAGACATGGTGCTCCCGTAACCCAGCACCTATCGACGCAGTGCACGCACCCTTCCGATTCCGTGTTATGGGTCCGTACATGAATAGCGCAATTCGGTGCAGCGTACAACTGTCCGCTGGGATCCCCGATGAACCCGCGAATTAAGGCGTGGTAGAGATAATTTTATCTTCTGAGATGGTTTTAACTTTTGATTAGGAAATCATCTCTGTACAGTGGTGAGAAAAAAACCTGGTGACCGCTATTAATAAAGAATGTTACTGTTCGAACGAGTGCAGTTATTATTACTTATTAACTGTGTCAATTGGAATCCAACTAGGTAGTTTCACCGTATGTAATTGAACACCGAGTAGGCAGCAGCGGTATCGAAATTCGAAAGATATGCGCTTTTACGTTCGCTGGTTATTTACTCCATAATGTGGCCATAACAATAATTAAGGATGCGTGTTTTAGTTGTTCGCTGCACAAAATGGCGTAGGTCGCAGAATATCCGGCGAATTATAAAGCCCAAACAAGCATGCGCACTCCATTAGCTTAGGACATACATACTCTGTACAATATACCGATATTCTGAAATTTTCTACTGCGGCGATTTGGTCATCGCCGCCCGTCGGCGCTCATCAATTTGTTTTGTCGCATCAGCGACAAGGTGACCCGTTTGTTACCGTATGCTACAGCCTGAATGCCGCACTTCTGGCGCACTGTACTCCTTTAGTTATCCATGCTCTACGGACGCAAAACGCGGGGTGCATATTTAGTTTCCGGTTGCCCGGCAGGAATCATTATGCGCCAGTGGTCTGCGCTTGGCAGAGTGAAATTGTGGAAGGGAATGCAATATGCCAGAAAACGCAATATTCACCACAGCTCCCACCCAAAGTGCACGGCTAGCAGAGATTATAGAAGTCGAAGTCTTTTTGAGGTTCCCCAAACGCACCGGACGCAGACAAGCAAACGAGCAAACTGTCTAAAAAGGGCGATATTGGAGTCGTGCGAAGGGAAGACGCCGTGCGCATTCAATCTATGCTGGCTGAATAGCCAAATCGGCCAATTTCCGGACGGAGTGGTCAGTTCAACTTTATATGCTTTTTATGTTAATGCGTTACCAAATCATGTCAGATTGTCAAAAAAAACCTTTTGCGAGCCAAAGATGAGCGGTAAATGGACGAAAGGATTCAAAAAAGTGCAAAAAAATGTAATGCAGAAAGTTGATGTACGGCGCGACCAAAATAACGAAGCTGTAACTGTGTACTGTGGGTTGTGGAAGGAAATTCAGCACAGGATTTTGACGTTTTTGTTGCATTTTGGACACTCAACACAATATGGATTCGCGCCCCGTTTTGTGCCCTTTAAGTCTACTCGACACCGGACACCAGAGACACGGTGTTCTGACTGCTCTCTATGTTGCACCACGTTAGAATACTTTATACTCTTTTTGGTAATTCCGTATGTGCAACTGCAAGCTCACATAAAAACTTTAACTGATTTTCAAAAGAAATCAATTCTTGAAAATTTTTGTCGAACAACGCGGAGAATACCGTGTCTCTGGCGTCCGGCACGCGAATCCATATTGCGATAATTTCCGGCTTGTGAGAAACGTCGGTAAGTGGAGAATGCAATCCTCCGTGACCTCGATACACGATAGCAGCCTCCATATTAGATGTTTGCGGTAACGGGCATATATGTATGGTACACTGTTACTTCCGTAAACAACTTCCGTAACGGACACTGATGGATTTCTGCATTGGTCTTGAAATTAGAGGACCTTCGCAACGCTCCGGCCGAATTCAATATATTGTACGATTCCTTTACGAAATCGGGTTATGGTGTGAGTATCCGGTTACCTTTACAGTTCTGGCCAATCATTAGAATAGGGTAAGTGTTCTACAGAGTTTAACTACCTAGTGCCCTAAATTTTTTAGGTTGATTTGGACACGGTTGATCTTTAACTTAATTTTGACTGTACTACAGCATACACCGCAAATATGGCAATCGGTTACAGAGTTGTACGGCGCTGTCGATGTCGGTAAGCTTGGAAAACCAAATAATTGCATTTATGTTTTTGGCTGGTATCTTGATAAAGAAACAGAAAAGCACGGAGAGCAGGTTGACATGATTACTATCCAGCAGTGAGGTTGCTAAACGCTAAACTGCGGAATCCGTACAGGTAAGAAGTGGGTATAAAGTTCGATTGCGTCACAGTCCATGATTCCGTTTTACTGCGAGTACTTTTACTCTCGTACAAAATACGAGGTATCTGTGACTGTGGCCATTTATGTTTAACAACTAATTTAACATACATATAGGGGGCAAAACTAGGCGTGTTCCACGGTTCCCCTGTATCACCCGCCTGTAGTGTGACGTTACGGCACGATATATGGTTAAATCTGGCGCGGTACATAAGCGCCATGTAAAGCCACTACGTAAAACTCCAGCCGGGTGACGGCAGCAATACAGGGGAACCGTGAAACACGTTTAGTTTTGCCCCCTATATACCGTATAATTTCGGTAATACTTCGTAAGTCAAATTAATTAATTGCTCGGTTGGTAAAAATTTTAGAACAATATTTCCGGTTTGTACACTGCACATCCACGTTCAAAGTCGATCACTCTTCATCGTAGACTTTTTCCTGTAAGAAATTTATGTAGATGCTTTCGAACTGAATTTGTTCGCGCGACAATTTCATTTCGCTTAAGGATATCAAAATGGCCTATGCAGCAGGGTAATTCATTTCAGTGTGTGTTACTAAAGCAGATGGTTCACGGTTGTGCGATTACAACCGGCTAGACAGCTTTTCAGCGCCTGCATGCATTTGTTTAGCATATTACACAGACTCTGTACTAATAACTTTTTTTACTTTTCCTATGGCGTAGTGTCTTTGAATACTCATTTCTATATTTTTTGCCAACAACGCATAATGACATAAAAACTATAAAGATATTACCGTACACGTTCTTCTCAAAATAACATTTTTAACGTTCAAGAATAAATGATTTCAATTGCGAACAAAGCAGACGGTATCGAGGAAAAACGTGCTAACATAATAAAAAGGCGAATCTGCATTTGTTGCTTCATAAATACAACCGTTATAAGGGGTTTTAGGGAAGCTTGACTCCTCCCTTCTGAAAGAAGGCCACCTCCTTGGTGCAGTAATCTTCGCAGGCCAACCGCCAGTACCGGCGCGTCCCTATTTCATATACATCGGAGCAGTTATACAACTTTTCCCATTGTTTATCATAGATGGCCGCTTCCATTACTGGGACATGAAACCACAATCCCAGATGGTATGTATCAACCGCCCATGAAACTTTACGCAGTCCCAAGGGGTTCGTAGTGGGGTGGCCTGTAATAATATGCCTCTGAACGCAGCCGAGGTCCTTTCGTTCCTTCAAAACCATGAGGGGATCGTAATAGCAAGGATTTTCGTATGTGACCCATGAGTCGCAGTATTGTCTTCCTACAAACAAATTGTCGAATGGCAACAGCAAAAAGGTAATTTTTTGTCAAGGATGTTGGATTCTGTTAGCACGAGTCACTTTAAAAATCGGAGCATCGCAGTACGCACAGACGAAATAGTTTGGCCGAGCCAAAATGAATGTATGGCAAAGCAATACAATGTATGTAGTGCTACTTTGCTTTGTCGCTTTTTCGTTATTTTGCCGCGTATACCTGTTCGCTTACAACGGCGGTGTTATCCGCAGATATGTTCGTAGTCTAGAAGATTTCCAGTTCTGCTTAGCTGAATTCTTTTTACGTATTTTGAATGCGCGCATTTGCGGTCATTAATTACAGTTGCCGGATTTCTCCACCACTAAACTTCTGACAAAAGATTCTGGTTGCTAACTCTTAAGGCGGCAAAATACTGTGTGCCCATAATATTATTTATATCGCTTTTTGGCATCGACCTGCTAAGCCAAATAAATAATACATTTAACGCGTAATCAGCGTGACGGGGCGCGCCCCGAGTGAGGAGTTAGGCGTGAATCGCGTATTTGTCCATTTCGCTGTATTACTGCGTTAGAAATTACGGTAGAAGCTGGTAAAACAAGGTTACGCTGAACTACTGTTATAGATCGCCGTTGTAGGAACTGTGATAATCAGAAAAATATGGCAGTTAATATCGAACTTGAACACCTTAACCTGTTTATAGCTGACGGAAAAGCAATTTTAAAAAAACTTGAAAATCAAATGCTGTTGAATGTGAATACAGCCATAGAATTAAGTATAAAGCTTCCAGACTATACAGGATACCAGGATCCTTCGGAAATTAAAATTAAGAGATCACACATTTAGAAATTAGCCTTGCGTACGCAGATGTCACCCTCCAATATCGACCAATATCGATAAGTCAGTGCTAATCACTACTAACTGATGCTGGCATTCATAATAGGTCACACACTGACGTCTGTGGATTAATTACGAAAGGTTAACTTTACTTCAGACCTTATGCGACAGAAGTTTGTTTTAGGTTATGGCAGTTCGTTTACATACATGATACTATGAATAAATGCGGATACTTTTGGATTTAATAAACAGATACTTGCCGGAGACGTGGCACGTCGGGCACGGGGTTGTCACTGGTGTTGTTGTTGTGGTTGTTGGAGTGGTTGCTGTTTCCAATTCCCATCCCATTCCATCCGTATACGGAATCGTCGGAATGGGATACGTATCCCATTCCACTTGGGCGAATACGCTGCGCTGGACGATGAACAGAATTATACAAGGCATATAATTCAGCACGATCATGGTGAATATTACGGTAGAACACAGTAGCACAGTGTTAAAAACTAACAAACTAGATCACCTGAAGCCGAAACGAAAATTTCACCTGCTTTTATAAGTCCATATTCACCAACGACGTTCACCAGTTGACAAGTCTTTTGCGGATTCAGCTTACAATTCGGAGAACCTTGAGAGTGGAAAGGAAAAATTGTTCTGCTTATGAATGCTCAGCAAATTAAAGCGCTTATAGCACTTCACAATTATTCAGCATGGTACCGGCTATTCTCGTTAGAAAAGTATGTGGGATAACAGCGTCCGAGAATATTTAGCAAGCTAAGTATTCAAACGTTTCGATATTATATGTAGTGAGTTTTCGACAAAAAATACTTGAGGCAGCACCCGTACAACTCACCGCCGATCACGCATTGCCTACTCAGCGGCTTCAACTTACCGGCTGCG